CTAGCATTACGACATTGAAAACAAATAACAATAAGAAATACACAAATGATTGTAAATGAAATCACATGAATACTTGCATGAACGCATGAACGAACAATTAAATCTGGCAATTGTTCCTTAAAGATGTCATGAAAAGGATTGTCAACCATATAACAATCAAGTCCATCCTTATCAGGTTCAGGCAATGGACCAGTTACATGGATTCGGTAACAAATGTAATCTTTAGCCTCAGTTTCACATCCAATGATCCGACTAAATATAAAATTTGATTAGCAAATATTGCACCATTAAACAAATCAAATAAACAATTACCTGAGCTCATCTGTACGATTAATCAGCTTTTCACATTGATAGAGATAATCGGCCGTACTATGTTCATATTGGCTCAAAGATTGTCTTGAAAATTTACGAGCGACGCAACTTGGCTGTAAAACAATTTTTTGTAGTTCAACTGAATTCAAATAAAATCACAATTAGAGTTGATTGTGTAAAAACACTGAAAAATATGAGGCTATAAAAGCTTCAAACAAATCACTTACCAAATTGAGCAACCTTCTCAACGAAATCCCTAACCATGATCTGTGTTTCGTTAACTTTCGCTAATTGCTCCTCAGACAAGCGTAAAGCTTCTGTAAACTCATTTATTTCTTTCGCAGTTTTTTCTAACATTATTTGATAGTCAATCGAACCTGTTTATTTTGTTGACAAAAAGATTGAAATTAAAGATTGATCCATTGAAACCAGAATGAATTACTTACAGTGCGTAAAACCAAAGGAACAAAAGATGAATATGATGAACGATGGACCTCGCATGCTTTGGAATTGAAGAATCACACAAAATGTAATTGGCTTCAGATGGATGCGGTAAAAAATGTATTCTGGTCACAGATGAGCCAAGGCACAGTTGCTTTAAAAGTGACAATTAGAGCTACATTGATTTTCAATGATTTGCAACTAATGTAACAAACTAAAATGAGAAGATTCAAATATAAATACAATTTAGATGACAATAGATAGCCAATAGAGTTTATAGCAATTCAAATCAATTTATAATGATGGATGATTTGCTTGAAAAATCTTAACAGCATTTTCAAATGCAATAACTTGAAAAGTTAAACAGATCAGTTTATATTTTTTCAAATCATATGCTTATGACTGTTAAATTTTGAGCAGCAATTTGGCCAGGCTATATCCATATAAGAATAACGATTACTGTTAAGCCCATGATGGTGAGGTACCTCTTGTAATCACTATATTTGTTCAGAAAAATGGATGAGCATAACGGAAGTAACAACAACTGATTTATTCTGAGATTGCTTGTTTAATTGCTCATTGCCTTCACTGATAAGGTAATTTAGTGAATCTCATTGCAGAAATAGCATCTTGATACAATCAAATCGGAAATCTAATAATAGATGATCGATGATAAATATCGATTTATGGTTATCCTCAAAATTACAAATAACCGACAAATTTTAGTTACAAGGTTTGCAAAATCACAATGGAATATGAAAAGTCCTGTTAAAATTGGCCATTGAACTGATTTTTCCTTTTTCCCGCTTGTTGAGCCTCTAATGTCTTAATGATTTTAAGGGCCAAAGACCGATGAAAGGGCCAAAGACAATGTGATTTCACGATGAAAAGGTGTAGAGAAAAAGGTACAATGGCTAAGAATTAAGGAGCCAGAATTTTCTAAAGATTTGTTGTCAATTCAAAAATTTCAATCAAAATTGGATTCTATTCGACCAGAGGTTCTATTGCACCACAAAAGAGACCAGAGCTTAAAATTTATATGCACCATTGTTCCCCAGCTGGAAGGCAGCTTATCAAGTATGGTTACAATTGTTCAGTTCATTTAAATGTCGATTCTGTCAGAACAATTTTCTGCTGTTGCAAATGTTGCTACATTTGTCGCTTATTTGGTATACAAAAACACTTGAAATAAAATTTATTCTCTGTTCTTTATTAGTTAATAGTTTAATGTAATGAAAATGGTTATGGGAAATGTACATAAATATGATTCATATAGTTATAGGAATGTATTTGATACAAATGATTTAGCAATTGGATTGCCATTTAAGAGCCAATTTAAAATTAAAATTAAAATTTAAAACGTTTAACGAAAAGCAATCGAAAGATTCTGTTGGACAGATGAAGAGCATACGATTTGACTGACTTCACTGATTAACTTCGAGCATTATGATGTGATAAAAAGACAAATAAATAAGCAAATGACTGAAAATGAGATTACATGAAATATGCGAGTTAAAATATGGAATCACAATTGCACTTTGGAAGATTGAGGATTGAAGGAATCAACGGATTCTTAACGTCATAACAAGCATTTCCATCCTCATCAGGTTCAGGCAATGGATCAGTCTTAGAGATTCCGTAACAAATGAAATTCTTCGACTCAGTTTCACATCCAATGATACGACTAAACACAACATTTGATTAGAAAACATTTCACCATTAAACCAAATAAGCTAATTACCTGAAAGTGTCTGTGCCATTACTAAGCGTTTCACATTGATAGGGATGATCCACCATACTGTTATAATATTGGCTCAAAGATTGTCTTGAAAATTTGTGAGCGATGCAATTTCGCTGTAAAAACAGCTTCTCTCCTTCAACTGAAATATGAAAAATTTGAAAACACAAAACAATCTGAGAATAGAAAAGCTCAAAACGAAATACTTACCTCTTTTAGGCAACAACTGCCGAGCAAGACCAGATAACAAGCTCTTTGCTTGGTGAGCTTTCGCTTTGGCCTCAACAGACATTTTTGAAATTTCAATCAATTTACTCGCTCGTTGCTCAGTTTTGTCTACAATTGTTTTTATGTCAGGGAAACCAGGTAATGATATAGCCAAACCTATTGACCAAAAGATTAAAATGAAAGATTGATCCACTGAAATGAGAAAGAATTACTTACAGAACGTAAGACAAAATGAACCAAAAATGAATATGATATGAGATGGACACTTCATGTTTTTGAATTTAAGAATCGCACAAGATTGAAATTTCCTTCAGATGGATGCAGTGAAAATGTATTCTGGTCACAAATGAATTAAGACGTGATAGCGTTAAAAGCAACAAATATTACAAAAGCTTCCAATGGTTTGTAGATGATGAAACATGACAAGATGTTATAATTCAAATATAAATACAATTTGGATGACAATGGCTAACCAATAGAATCGATTGTAATTCAAATCAATTTTGTAAATGCAAGTTTAGCTTCAGAAAATATTAACAGCATTTTTAAATCAAATAACTTGAATCAAATTTATTTTTTGCAATCATATGTTAAAGACTGTTGACTTTTGAGCAGTTACTAACCGTCATTTTTTATTAAGTATTTTTTTGTGTAAAAAATAATTGACATTTGACATTCTGTGCAATTTAATTTCTGTTTAAAAAATTATGGACAAATATTAATTTGAATTTATAACATTTTTAGGTTAAACGTGAAAATCAAAATAAAATTTTTTATAATTTCTGTTGAATTTGTTAACGATCCGAAGACTCTTCATTTTATTCACAAAGTCTCGAGATTTGAATAAGTATTTTAAGTTGCCAATCGATATTGATAATGTTATCATCTTTCCATCAAAAAATCTTGTGAATCTTTCATAACTGCCAGGGAAATTGA